ATAGAGAGTTTGGTAATACTACTCTTAAATCACAGTCCGTGAGGGTCCACCAGTGGATAATGACACATCATGATGTGTTGTAGAAGGGCTTTCATCCTGTGTCTGCTCTTCCTCTCCCCCAAAATAAAAAAAATTTCGGACTTTTAGTGGTCAGTGTAAGCTGTTTCGGTCCCTGGGCCTCATTCCGACGGAGGATTACAGCATAGACCATGTGAGGAATGTAGTTTGAGTGACAGGTTTCAATCACGTCTTACAGATATTGATGAATGTGCCAGCAACCCCTGCATCAATGGAGCTACCTGTGTGGATCAAGTGAACAGGTTCAACTGCACCTGTCCCCCCGGATTTACTGGAACCCTTTGTGGCATAGGTAAGTTATCTTTTCCATATAGTTTAGTTGACGGAATAATTTTATTTCATCTGATGTCAGTTAGAATTTTTCGACCCATTAGGTAGTCTTGACGTATCAATTAACATGGTGACCACGTAGGTCGAGGCAAAATAAAAGTGACGAGCGTAAGTGTACGGACACTTAAGACTAAAATCCTCTTATTGTACCTAAAATATAGGTTTAGCCAAGTCTAAAAGCGGAGTTCCCATAAAATTCTAATCATTTACTCGAAATTCACCAGTAAGTATTTCAGACCTATTCCAAATACTGTGCCCTTGCTCCATGGTAAATCAAACCTACACACTCCCTTCGATAATTCCCCTAATATCCTTTTATCTGGGTGCCCATAGTAACAGCATAATTTGGGAACGGTCTTGACCAAAAATCAGCAATTCCCGTTACAGTGCTGCTAGAATGTAGCACAACAAAAAAAAAAGCTGTCTAGGAACATTCTCCTGTTTTGGGTAACGAGACATTGATGAGTGCGCAAGCAGTCCATGTGTCAATGGAAATTACATCGATGGTATAAATCAGTACGTTTGCAACTGTCATCCGGGAAATGCAGGCGTCAACTGTGAACTTGGTAAGACAAGCTATTTACCTTTTTAGACCTTATTTTATCGCTAAGGGGAATAAAAACTGGTGAGAATTTGCCTGTACAGCTGAGCCCCGCTTTATGGGCACATCTCTAATACGGACATCTTGTTATAAACGCTAAGACGGAGAGTGGTTTCGGTTACTTCTTAGCTCACACAACTTGCCCGCTCATGCGCACACCTCATTGGTAAATAAACCATAGGCGGGCCGTGACTGTATCTCAGTTTGACAAAATTTTAAAGTTCCAATCTGTTAATCATCCATCTGCTTTGCTTTGCGTCGTAACTCTAGGAGAAATTTTGTGCCCTTTTGCCTTTGTTTGTAGAAAATTCTGCCTCCCCCTTAACTCGCCCTCCTCCTCCTCTATTTGTTGTCGAGGCAAGGTGTAATTTATAGTATTCGTTTCCGTAACTACTGAAAACCATTGAAGGGGTGGTTACTCCCTCCAGCTTTTTGCTGGAGCTCCGTTTGGTTACCAGTTCCGAGACCGGGCTATCCGGGGTGCACAAGAGGCAATTAAGCAATGTAGCACTAGCATATTGCCCAGAAAGCCTTACGATCTGTGAGCGGGCCCACAGCTCCCCAGTTAAGTATCATCACCCCTTCCACCCCAAAACTTTAAGTAATAAATCCAAATAATATATCAGGCTCTGTTGCCGTTTTAGCTCCATTCTACATTTACCAAAATATTCTTTAGGCTGACAGTAAATTTAATTGGTTTACCTTATCTACGGCAACGGTGAATGCCACGCCTTCTTTAATTAGCGGGATATCATTCCCATCTTGGGAATTATCGCCTTTGCAAGTTACAATCGGACTGGGATATAAATAAGATTACTGACAGCTGCTATTCATGTTTGACAGATCTTGATGAATGCGAAAGCAACCCATGCAGCAATGGAGGTGTATGTGTGAATGGAGTGAACAAATTCACATGTAATTGTATACCTGGATTCACCGGACTCCAGTGCGAAACAAGTAAGTTATAAATGAACTTATTATTACACTGATACGCCACGTTACCATATTAGGTCATGAGCTCGTATTACATTGCAGAGTCGTATATGTTTTTCTGTTATTCGCTCGCGCCTCACGCGATGAGTACGATTTTAGGATGATGCGGGATGTAATTCACATATTAGAAGCCGAAAAACTAAAAATGACAGCAGTGGATTAATAAACTCCTTATTGGATGGCTTTAACATATGATACGCGAGGACACTTTGCTCATTGCTTGTAAAATATCCGCGCGTTGAATAATCGAATAAGGTGTAGCTACTAGGCAAATAATAGTTATCTATAGAGAAACTGATGTTAGAGTAAAAATACTGGGTGGAGGTAATTTGCTGTCTGCTTATGTTGCGGTTCAAAAAGTACTTGTTATTTGACCAAATTACGTTTTCTCTAAACCTAGCTAAAGTTACTCCCTTTTTTCATAACCTGACTGGCAGTAAGTGACCTGAGGCAGCCAATATTACGAACTGCCTTGCACAAATTAAGTACAAGATCTTGGTTCTTTTTTCAACAAGATATTGACGATTGTGTAAGTAACGCGTGTGTCAATGGAGATTGTGTGGACGGCGTGAATCAGTACACATGCAGCTGTTATTCTGGAAACGCAGGTGTACACTGTGAGTTTGGTGAGTAAGTATTCTTCAAGGTTAATAAAGCAGTGGTGAGTATCACCTCTGTAGGAAGCTATATCTATTAATATTCACTAGATACTGAAAAACTGACCAGCAAGCTCGGAGGGCAGTTGCAAAGAAGCCAATACCAAATATTTTGGACTGCAATCTTCTAAGAATTGCTTTGCAAATCACATTCCAAGAAATCGTTTTTGAATCTGCCTTCATCTTTCCGAGATTTCGGTTTATTCTCCACCCCTTTATTAGAGCTAAAAAAAGTTAGAAGCCTGTAGTTGCTGTCGCTCTTAATTTTGAATTAGAGGCACGTAAGTGCAAGTCGACGGTTCCTTTCGACAGCAGCGTTTTTGCCCAGTGCTGCTCCACGACTCTATCTACGAAACTTTTGACAATCTATTTTTTTGTTGTTTTTCTTCAAGATTTATCCTGTGTGACCAGTAATCCATGTTTGAACGGTGGAACCTGTATCCCTTTATCTGGAGGAGGATACACCTGTAGCTGCACGTTTTTTTATTCTGGTTCAAACTGTCAGTTAGGTAAGTTATGTTACTGGAGGCGTGGTGGCCTCATGATTAGTGCGCTCGACCCCGGATAGAGCGGTCTCGGTTGAAGCTCTGGCCGGGGACATTGCGCTGTGTTCTTGACAAGATGAGACGCTTTACTCTCACAGTATCCCTCTCCACTCAGGTGTCAAAAGGAGTACCAGCGAATTTAATACTGGAGGTAACCCTGAGATGGACTAGCATCTGATTCAGGGGGAGTAGAAATATTCCAAGTCGCTTCACGCTACAGAAATCAGGAGAAATGCAGACTTTACCTGTTACCTTTATCATGTTAGTGACGCAGCTTTCTTTTCACTTAACACACCAAATTAGCAATACATTCACTACTACTGTATCCCTTGATTCACCTTCAAATGAAGTGACAATACTGCGGTCACCTTACCTCCTGGCGGGTTTACTGTTTCGCAAGAGAGCTTCGGGGTTCGCGATTCACTGCCGAAAATTACATGCTGCATCGTTAATAATAAATTGCCCAAGTTTTGAAATTTTAACTGTTTGCTTCTTTGTTTTTTATCTAAGTTTTTTTTTTGGCAGGATCATTCTTCTGTCTAAGGCTTCCCACGTTCTCTTTCGACCCACCTTACTCGCCAAACACCGGCAAATTCGACAAGATCGCTTTTTCGCTAAGCGCGAACCACAAACTCTTGGGAATTGCTGTTGGTTCCACCGCACAACAAGGCATTCCTGTAACTTTGACCATCAAAGTCAGCAACATCTCGGGTGTTGCCATCGCCTCTAAAACTACGCAGCATACTTTTCGTCACGGAATACCCGACTACCCCGTTTATTTCGACCAACCGATACTTCTGACCGCCGGCCAGCAGTACATTGCAGCTTCCCTGGTCGAGGCCGAAGCCAATATGTCTGAATTGGCAAGAAGCTTTGACGGCTCTGCAATCAGATTTTGTAATCCTCACCTGACAGTTACGTTCTCGAATGTTCCAGCAGAGGAGATGGCTGACTCTAACGGATCAACAGTCCAAGAGGGCCAAATAATTTTTCTGTATTTTAAGCCACCATAAATATTTCTTTCATTGTTGAAGCTATGCCAAAGTTTGAGAAAAGGCACAGAGTTTGATGATTTGAAGAGCAGTCTTCAATTAGTGTCGAAAATAATTCGGAAGTGCTTCCACCAGTCTTTTCAACCAATGAGATGCAAAATCAAAATCAGTCGCATTTTCCGCTATGTGGACCTTGCACGCGCTTAGTGCCGGTTACGTGTATCACTATCTGCTTCAAATTTTCATTGGTTCGTTTAGTTGTGTTGTTTATGTTTGATGTGATTATCAATTGTAATGAACTGTTTTCTTCCAAAGATGCTCAGTTGACGATTGCTCTAAGATATTATTGAAGTTACACAAGTTTGAAATAGACGAGCAGTTTTAAACGTTTAAATCAATTTTCTACCTGGCCTTAGCATTCTTACCATAAGCAGTTACAGGCATTATAGTTGCGCCTTTTCTGTCCGTTTTTCATGAATATTTGGAAGTCTCTTATATTAGATTTCAAATCATTTGGTTCTTAACGGTATGGCCTGAAGTAGCGGGAGTTGGTTCACGCGTAGCTAGATTGGCACACATGGTGATTCAGCGTCTTTCGTGATGGCCGCACCAAGATCAGTTTATTTGT